GTTTGCATCTCTTCCGGACAGACAGGAGAGACTTATGCTTTCCTGATCTGTTTTGTAGCTGGACAGAGGCCTTATGACTAGTTTTGGCTAATGGGATGTGGGCAAGGTCATCAATTCCGAGCCAGAGCATTTATTTGCCGGGCAAGACCCTCCAGCTCTACTCTGCCCTTGTTGTGGAGAACTCTGAAAGCATTATGCTAAGCTTATGGAGACATAAGATGGTGGTGTGAAGAAACTACCTGAGCAGAACCCTCTACTCATCGCCCCACTCATCTGAATTGGTCACATAGTCTGAGTAATAAATATATCTTGGTATTTAAAGTCTTTGAGATTTTAGGGTTGTTTGTTATTTTTAGCATAACCTCTTCTGTCATAACCAACAGAATCAGAGTTAAAACATCCCAATACAAAGAAATGAGAACTGTTTCAGGTGAGGAATATCTTAATTATCCTGATTTGAGCATTACACATTGCATGTATGTATTAAAATATCATATGTACCCCATAATGTGTACAATTATTAGGTACCAATAAAAAAATCAGAGTGAAAACAAAAAAATTAAAACTAAGCAAAATTGTTTAACAGTTTATAATAAAATATCATAAAGTACTGTCTGGAAACAGAGGATAAAAATATTCCTGATGGCAGCATAATCCCCCACCCCAACTTCTGGTTATCTATAACATTCACACAGTTAAGTTTTTAAATATTAAAAAAGAATGTTCTCAACTATGCAAAGAAAACAGTGTAACTAAATATCAGTTCTCTATATCTAACAGAAGTGTTAAACTCAAAATTTAAGCCACACACTAAAGTATGATTTCATATTCTATGATTTTATTTTGCTTAATGGTTATGAAATGTCAAAATACACAGAGTTAGGATCAGAATTGACACTAAGACTTGTTTCTAAGATTTTTGTACTGTAAAACCACTTCTATTTAGTAATGAATAACAACTGCGGTTTGACTACTCTTTTCTTAACAGAGATCACAGTACAAATATCATAAAAAGTAGCTGTCTGAAAACACAGATAGCTTTTTCTGACATCACAGAGACTACAGAAAAATAATTTGTAATCTCCACAATTTTAGAAACTATGAACAAATAACTCTCCACAGGAAAACTAACCTATTCCCTTCACAAATCCTTTGCCTAAGTACTAAAAAACTCCTCAGTATCATTTTTTCTAGTTAAAGAAACCCTCCACACTACAGACATCAGTCACCTTGATGGGTTTAGTTTAGAAACTTCCCCATAATTCCAATAACCATATTTCATCTTTCCAAATGACAGACTCTATGTCATTTTACCAGGGCACTGGGTTTCATGGGAACACCTACTTTTAACATGAGATATTCATCCTCAGCACCCAGCATTTACTATGAGGTTACTATGTACCAAGTATTGTGTAAAGCACTTCACAAAGGATCTCATTTACCCTCTTACAACACTAACAAATAATTTGGCTGGTCATTGTCCCTGGTTCTTGGGAGGTCATTTGTAAACCCTTGGAATTATTATGTGATAGGGGTGTCTCTGTTATCCCCACCCACACCCCACATCTGATAGTTTAGGCTAAAGAAATGACAAAGTGGGGGCTGAGTGGTATGATTAGACGATTTGTGCTTTGAGCCACGTAATACCAGCCCAGTCTCTGGGAAGGAAAGGAGAACCGAAGATCAAATCATGTGGGCATTGATTTCATCAATCATTCCTACATAATGAGACCCGAATAAAAACTCTGGACATTAAAACTTGGGTGATCTTCCCTGTTGGCAATATTGTGTATGCTGTCATACATCAAAATGTGCCAGGAGAGTAATGTGTCCCTGAGGACAATGGAAAACCTCCCATTTGCAACTCCTGTCTTATGTGTCTCTTCCCTTTGACTAGGTCTGATTTGTACCCTTCTGCTACAATAAAACTTTAATTGTAAGTACAGTTGGCCCTCCATATCTGTGGGTTCCACCTCAATAGATTCAACCAACTGCAGACTGAAAATACTTGTGAAAAAAAATGGATAGCTGCATCCATACTGAATATGCAGACTTTTTTCTTGTCATTATTCCCTAACAATACAGTATAACAACTATTTACATAGCATTTACATCATATTAGGTGTTATAAGTTATCTAGAGATGATTTAAAGTATATGGGAGGATGTGTGTAGGTTATAAGCAAATACTACACCATTTTATCAAAAGGATGTGAGCATCGTGGATTTTGGTATCTGACGGGGGTCTTGGAATTGATACCCCCTTGGATACCAAGGGTGACTATATAGCTTTCTTCTGAGTTCTCTGAGTTTTTCTAGTGAATGAATTATCCACCCTAATGTAGTTTATGGAGATGTCTGAATTTGTAGCCAGCTGATCAGAAATGGGGGTAGCCCTGGGGATCTCCAAACTTGCAGCTGCAAGTGAAGTGAGGACAGTCTTGTGAAAGATTGTGACCTTAACCTCAAGGTTAGCCAATTTCAGATAACCGTCATATTAAGAGTATTACCCCCAATTCGCTGTTGAAGTGGAAGTCCCACATTTATTTTACCCAATGAAAGTCACTACCATAACCATAAATGCATGGTTTTATGTTTATTGAGCACCTTCTAGGCATCAGATTTAATATTAATCATTTTATGTGTGATCATGTTTAATCCTTCCAGAAACCTCTGAGATAATCAATATCCTTGAGGAAACTGAGGCTCAGAGTGGTACCTGAGCCGTCCTGGGGCTCACTTCATGAATTTCCCTTCCCTTAGTTATTGCAGTATTGACTGCCTATTGTTCACTGCCTGTTGCAGTGAATTGCATGGTTGTCCTCATACATTTCATCCGGTTTTACAAATGTGTACAGTGGGGGAGGAGCTGGTTCAGTACCAGTTATCCTGTTATAACCAGAAGTGGACTTGGGCAGAAAAGTAACCTGAGGTAGGGGGAGAGATTTCATATCCGAAGATCCTACTAGGGCCCACTTTTGGACCAGACTCCTCGAAAAAATTATATTTCTAAACTTTGATTTCTTTAACCAAAAGAATGGTTGCAAACATGGGAATGATCAAATAAGTCTGTATCTTGAAGATAATGAGAATCAAGTCTCCTCCTGTAAGAGAAGAGAGTTACAAAAATGCAAAGGAATAAAAGTAGAAAAAAAACCTATGGTATTAGATTGGAACTAGAGAGATCACTACAAATGTGTGATTTTTAGTATCTATTTCAATGTGTTTATATAGATACATATAAAATAAATATAGAAGCTCTTTGGCAAAATGGTTGATCTCAAGGCCAGGGCAGAGAAAAGTCCAAGATGTACCTGGGATATCTTGTTGTGCCAGAATGAAAGGAAGTGTTCAAAGAATGATGGGGATATGAAAAAGAATAAAGACTGCTTAAAGCGCCTCCTGCGAGCCAAATCTAGGACAGTTTGAGCATGAGAATAATGTGACTCCAGGAATAGATACTAATATACATAAATAAAATAAAAACTTGGATAAGGGAGAGGCTATTTAATAGTCTCAACGTACTTCCCCACAAAATACTTATTGATTAGGAAAAAGAATGACTAGTTACAGAACAAATGAAAATCATATGCCACATGATAGAGTTGAAACACATGACTTCTGCACTAATCCTGCCACAGATGCAACTTGAATCTAATCATGAGTATCAGACAAACCCAAACTGAGGAACAATTACAAAATAATTGGTCCGTAATCTTCAAAAGTGTCAAGATCATGAAAATCACAGAAAAACTGAGAAAATGTTCCACACTGCAGATAAAAAAAACAAGACATACAAATGCATGATTTGGAACTAGATCCTTTTGGTACAAAAGACATTACTGGAACAACTTAGTCTCAATTTCCTACCTGTAAATCATGAGGTTCTATATCTATTGCTCCAACCATCAATAAAATACTCAGAGGTTTTTGTAATGACAAAGAAAAAACTAGACCTAATAGTCTTTCGATATATAAAATGATCTCTATTGATATTCTAACTATGCTGATAAAGAAAAACTACCGTAGACAGGCGGAGGCTTTAACCAAAAGTACCTTATCAAATTTAAATTTTGTAGGAAAAAGTTTCAAGGGAAAAAAAAAGTTAACGCCTCCATCAACAGGACATTCACACAATGAAATGTTATGTAGCTACTAAGCTGACATGAAAAGATGCCAAGCTTTTGTTAAATAGAGAAAAGAAAATTCAGCCCAGTTTAAGTAACACATTCCCATTTGTATGTATGTGTGATTAGATGTATGTTTAAGATACCCATATATTAACATATTGGCCTATGCATGCAAACAAAATTTCCAGAAGGATACATGAGAATATGTTAACAATGATTAATTCTGGGAAATAGGAATGGATAGTCAAAAAGGGGACAGGGCACTTCATTCTCCATCTTTTACTCTTGTATACTCAATTTTTACCAAGGAAAAAATAGGATTTCCAGTAGGAATAAATATATATAGCACCCAGGTCTTGCTTTCTAACTACCATTCCCAACTGAAAAGAAAATCCCTGGAGAAATGGCTGATTCTACATATGGGTCAGAGTACAAAGTGAGCTGTGGACATCTTTTTGTGTCAGAAAGGAAAGAAGAACGCAAAAGCTAATGAAGGCACGTGAAAAGGACAAAGAAGAGAGTGTGATGGGGCTCCCACTAGGCAAATTTGGGACAATATGCACATCAAAAAGAATCACTGTAACGAAAAAAAATATCAAGAAAAGAATATGATTATTGCAAGAGTCAAAATAGCAGTTAATTATGAAGGAGAAAGAAAGCAAACAGTCACACAGTGGGCTTATAGAACGCTGCTGACAATCTATTTCTTGATCTGGAAAACAACTACATGAATGTTCACTTTATAATCATTTACTAAATGGTATGTATTTGGTACGGACTTTTTCATATATATATTTCAGAAGATTTCGGGTGGAAAAAAGAGGTCAAGTAAAAACAAGAGGCTTTTAGAAAGAAAATTATAATATTTTACCTGCAAGAGTAGGTAGGCTCTCCTACTTTAAAAACGCGACCACAAAGATGAGAAGGTTTGTTTGCCTGTTCAAGTTTTGGAAATCCAAATGCAGGATCTTCACCACAAAGGTACCATTCCATCGGTCCTAACAAAACATGCTGTGCCAGCATGTCTTCTTTCTGTGGAAAAGGGTTGGGACCCCTGCAGTAGATTTTGGGTACATAGTGGGCTAAATGCTGGTACACTTCTCTAGTGAGGTCAGTTGCTTGCAGCCATTTCTTTAAAAAAGAAAAAAGAAAAAAATAGTTTTAAATGCCAATAAACTGCTAATTTGAACAAACGTATCCCACTTTCTTTTAGGTACAAAAATAATAATAATAAAATAGTATTACATTTTGTTTATAACACTCACTACTGTATATTAGAAATTTAACCTATTAGAACACCAACTATTTTAGAATTCTACTTTCAAGTAAAATTAGAATGAAACAAGCCCCCTCCTCAAACTGAGCCCTAAAGCAACCTTCTATAGACAGTACAGGAAACTGACTATAAGAAATCATTATATAAGACACCAGCCACTGAGCTCATCTGAAGTCTTTTCTAATGCTTTGCTCAAATGTGTGATATGGATTCCCATGTCAGTTTGTCCATAGGAAGAGCATGCAGCGTACATGAACAGTCAATACAATAGTTATGTTTCTCACTGCTTGATAAATGAGTCTATATACCACTCTTTTATGAATGTCAGTCCAAAAGAGACTTGTTCTATCAATTATGCCTTCTTTCCCTGATCAACCTCTCTCTATAAGTCCTTTTCCTTTTGCTCTCCCTACTAAAAACAAAGGCTACTTTTCTCTGACCCTCTAAGCCCTTATGTCCAATTACTTGTTACAATTACACTTAGATATCTCATAGGCACCAACTCAATACATTCAAAACTGAACTCATGATCTTGCCCACCCCCCACACCAAAATCTGTTATTCTCCCCATTTCCCTATTTTAGCTCTACCTGGGTATCCACACCAGAAAACCTGAAAATCTTTCTTCCTCACCCCAACATCCAATCAATCATCATGTCTTATCTGTTAGGCTTCCTAAATATCTCCAGAGTCCATCCATTTCTTTCTCCACAGCCACTACCTCCACTACCCTAGTCCAAACTCCTCACTCCCATCACCAGGATTAGTGCAACAATGCCCTAACTGGCGTCCCCACTAGACTTGCCCCTCTGCAATCCATTTCCAACTTTACTACCAGAGTGATTTTTGCAAAATGCCAACCTGATCATGTCATTCAGCTTCCCATTAGGTTTAGGATCAAGTCAAGTACCTGATACGGCTTTTGAGGTCCTTTGTCTTTATGGACTCTCTTCTCCTCCTGAGATCGTATTACTCCTCTCTCTGCTTTACAAAGCTATTTTCCACTCATTCTTCAGATTTCAATTTATGTTTCACTTTTTCTAAGATGCTTTCTCAGCCCATTCCCCACCTCTACCCTTCCTTCCCATATTCCTAGGTCTAAAACAGAACCTATCCTCAGCAAGCATTTAGTAAAATCTGTTAAGTGAACTGTTAAGTGACTATACATTTGTTTATACTACTTACTGTCACATTACATTGACACTCCAGAGATATTCCATGTGGCTTTAATGAAAGCAGAGACAAAGGGGATGCAAGTGTGCAGCACGGATCAGCTATCAGTCTTTAAAAAATGAAACCAAATAAGCCCTAGATAAGGCACCCTTCAAACCACCCCCTTTCTTTTCCCTTTCTATTTCCTTAAGTCTTTTCTTTATTCTCTCATTCATCCCTGCCTCCTCTGCCAACTCTATGTGTTTATTTGTTCTACATACTTCTTTGTGTAATCACAAGTCATTTTGGCTGTAAGTAAAATAAAAATTTAAAAATCAGGAAACATGAAATAAAATGACTCACATCTACTACAATGCAGTTAACTGAACTGCTAACTCATAAATCCAAGGTTTATTTACAGATTACAACCTAAGTTCCAGTTACATTTTTGTTTAAAAAAAAAAAAAGGTGTGTTCAAGTGATATCTAACACTATAAGAAGTCAATATAAGGTCTTCATGTTGGTTACTACTTGTACATTCTTCAACCCACTTCCCTCCTCCTAAAAATAACATACAAAGAGAGATTTTAAATATTCATTAGGTAGTATATATTAATTTTCTAGTCAATTTCATGTTTTCAAAAACTTTTACTAAAAATGTAAAATTTTTTTCATAAGAGACTA